AACATTGAGCTTTGGGGTAGAAGGGGTCCTCGTGGTTGAAAGGGTTTAAATATTTCGTCCATCTACGGTAGGTCATGGCCCACGGATGTGTACCTTTGACTCTTCCATGTTTGCACGGAACAGCTGCGGATCGAAGTAGCTTGCGGGGGTGCTTGCAAGCATGTGTATAAGCTCTTCTAGTCATGGGAAGAGAACAGCGAAGACAAGAGGTTACCACCTCACCTACAAATCCTAGGATGCTTTCAGGCTTTTCTGTTGCGTGTTGCGTGGTACTTATTCCACAAAGTGCGCGTGGGCTTGATATATATATATATATATATGAACTTTGCGAACTCCGGGGGACTCTGGGGGACTGCACACCTATTTTGTTACCATTCAGAAGAACAAGGGAGCAGCTGGGCAAAAGTGGGCGTCTTCAGACTCTGAGGAACCTGTTGTTCAGTATCACTTGGGTCTGTCCTATTACCATCTATTACCTGTACTACTAGTAGCAGTCGGTCAACAATTAAGGCCTGCAACTGAACCATCATCATCCACTGTTACTGGTAATGGTATAGACCCAAGCCGTCATCATCTTCAGATCCTACCATCATGAGGGTCTTTCTCGTGCGACCGAGCTCCGGCGTAATGAGATTGGTCTATTCCCCGCTCGTTCACAGCAAAAATGCTAGTAGATCCCATGACCTCCATTGAATTAATAGGTTGGAGGGCCATCGCTAGTAGGTTGGAGGCCATCGCCTACGTTTGGCACCCGGCGACTTGGGTGGGGCAGCCGCTGGGGAGTTCGGCACGCGGGGCTCGGCAGGTCAAGATGGGGAGTGATGCTCGGGAAGTCCTTCGGCCGAGTGCCAGCAATACCCGAGCGTTAGAAGTGTCTTGGCATGTGTTCTTTTTGTTGCAAACTCCTTCAAACGTGGCAAAGGATGAGTGTGTGGGATGGACGGTGTGGATACCATGTTGCTTAAAGGATTGGCAGACCAAACGGCGGGCTCTCGGAATCTGAAATACGGTTCTAACACTACTGGGCAGTGGAATCTGTATGGAGTCTAGAGTTCATGACTCTAGAGTAGGCCCCAAAAAGGAATCAGGTTCACTCGTGAAGGCTCAGCTCTGGGGACCACGGGGGGTCTGACCCAGCATGTGTAATATTCACATGAGTTTTCACTCATTTCTGACCCATGCTGTTCTTGTGCAGTGTGGTGCGAGGAACGGAACCACTACCATACCGGCCATGACATGCTACATTCCCATACCATCGGACAGATCATGCTTGAAGACAGAGTTCTGTTGCAACCACGGAGGTTGAGGGTGGCTCGCTTCAGTTATTCTTGACTTGGGTTTTGAAGGTTTCCATCCACCGATTCGGACTACCAAGCACATGCGAAGGTACTACATTTCCAGCACTATATAGTATCCACGCTGGTTCAGATTCTCCGCCAGAATCATTGGTTTTGATGGTGCATCAGCTACATTCTCAAATGCTGGTTTTGGAGGTGTTTGACTGTGATGTTGACATCGGGGTTTGGTTTGAAATGCCTATTTAGATTCGGCGAAGGTGTTTCTTGTGCACCAAATCTTTTGCGCTGCAACGACCTGGCTTGTCCAACTTGCATGCAGAGCCTAACATGAATCCCACAAACTTATAAAAGACTATATACTCTAGTACTCCTCGTGGCATCGACTCCGGATTCTGGTGACAGGTCTGGCAGGACTTCTCTGCAGCGATGCAGAGGGGTGACTGGGATAGATGATGGGTCTCGGAGACGGGGCCGTTGGGGCCGTTGGGGCCCGGGGGGGGGCGAATCGGACGGAAGAGTGAGGCGGACCGGCCGGAACACTAGCTAGGTTGAAAGCTATCGTAAGTCAGTCACTTTCAAAATATGTGACAACACGCGCTCCGAAGATGTTTGAGCAAACTCTTCCAGTGTAGCCCAAAGTGTCAGTGAGCGGACCACCAAGCCGTTGAGGCTGCGATCTCTCGGTCAGAGGCGTATTGGAAGGAAGCCATGCGGTAACACCACCTGATTCCGCCAAAGAGCACTCGAGTTTCCCCTAGCTTATGACGTTTTTCCTGCATGGGAGCTCTACTCAAAAATGCGGGTGAATCGTTGAATCCCTTCTAAATCCTTCCAATGTACCAAGTTAAAGTGTCTTCAGAGGATGGTTCAAGGCCGACACCTGCCAGGAATTGGTGCAGTGTCCACAACTTTGCAATATCCAGCAGCATGTCTTCCTTCATCTTTTGTGCTGCCCAGTGTGGTGCCAAAAGAACTGCGTGAACAGCATCACCTCAGATATACAGGACTATCATGTTTCTGATCGACATAACAGAGAATAGGCCCTAGGCTCTTGGACACTAGACATGGTCTCATGCCAAGGATGACATCACGTCATGCCAGGGATGACATCGTGTCATGCCAGGGATGTGTTTTTTTTCCCTCAGTCATTCCCTCAGTCACTATGAACTTCTTCCCTCTACACCCGCTATCTGGGGTCATGCCAGAGTAATTCCCTATACACCCGCCTCCGCATTGGAGTCACATGTGCAAAAGAAGAACCAAACTGGAGGATGTGAAAACAGCCAGATGTTGGACCATGTTGGGACCCTCGGAAATTCCAAGAGGTGAAGTGGCATATGATGGCATATGGCATATGATGGCATAGATCTTCAATCTTCCAGCTTGCCATGTTTTTCAGGCGACTTCTTCTGCCATCAGAAGGGCAGCGGCTTAGCCTTGCTCCATGGACAGGAGTTTCCACTTCCTGCAGGTCGGGTTTTGGTTTCGGGGCCGGCTGCGCCTGGTCCAGCGAGCGCCTGGTTCGCTCAACCCACCATGTTCACCCGACGAGTCCCACCGTGAACGGCGAGTCGAACTGTTGACCGGTCCACCGGGCAGGTCGTGTTGGTCTCGACTGCCATGGGTCACAGCTCACTGAAGATCTAAGCTGGGAGGAGTCCTCATTTGATCGGAGCACGAACTGCTGGTGGTTTAGACAGCATTCCGAGAACCATCCAAGGAACGGGACGTGCCCCGAAGAAAAACAAACGATATGTTATCAATTTGTTACTTTTCCACACATCTTTCACCGTGCATAGTAATACTAGATGATTGAATCATATTGAATCCCTGTGGTGGGCTGAAGAATGGCTGTGAGGAAGTCGTGAACTGAGATGATGGCAGGTGATGAACTGAACATCTCCGAACGGAGTCATCTAGCAGATGTTGCGGAGTAGGGACCAAAAAGCTGCCCCAGCCGCGCCAGAACTTCCACTTAAGGCCCTTTTGTGTCCTACAAATTTCGTTGACCCGCGACGACTGAAGAATCGAGCTATGCAGAAAACGGAAAACGACTTGTGCTTTCTTTTGAAACAAAAAGCAGTGATGTGCCAAGTGCCAGGTGAATTTGCCTTTGTGCAGCCCTTTCATGGTCGATTTGGCAATTCCTTGGATTGTCTGGTGTACCTGAAGCAAGTGGAGCTGGATGATTGCCCCTTCCTTTTGGCACTGCATTGCTTCTTGCCAGATGAGGATGAACGTCCAGAGCACTCGTTCTACAAGGCTGGAATGACGCACTCGCTCGTGCGATCGATGACGGATGGTTATTCGAGCAATTCAGGGCCTGAGAGGCTCTTTTTTGAAGCCGACATGAGCCAACAAGCAAACACAATTACGTCCGAGAAGCCTCCGGTATGCTGTGCCATCTCATCACGCATCCTTGGAATCAGCCCTGGAGATTCTTGGCCAGAAAGAGCTTGTATAGGTGTAAAACGACACATGAGAAATCTCATCCAAAGAACCTGGTGAAGCACCTTTGGGGCACAAAGTCTTTGCTCAGCGGTCATATTTCATCATCCAGCACCCAAGTGTTTGGTCAAGTGAGCCAGAACACCATCTCAAAGAGTGGATGGCCAACCAATTTGGATAGCAGACATACTTCGGTAAACAGAAGCATTAGGTAAATCAGCAGAACCACGAACCAACGAAAAAACAAGATCCTGCGCAACCCCAGCAACAATATTCCTAAAAACCGCAAGGTCAACCGACAATGTCTGGGTAAAACTTCAGCCAAAACATGCTGAGGACTAATCCAGCGTTTTGTGACTGGGTCCTCCACTGGCAGGTGTGATGAGTGACCAATCGCCAGGCAAAATAGAGTTCCAGATGTGAAATAAGACCTTTCTCAGCAGCCTCCCCATCACAAAAACCTCAAAAAAACCACCGACATCCAAAACCCGTAGCTGTCTAGGGCTTGCAGCCACCCCAAATCACATGGCCAAACCATTCCGTTCACCCTGGTGAAAACCACCGATGCTCCTCACATCGGCCAAAAAGACGCTGGATCGAAGCAGGTGGGTGTTCAAGTGGATGAAGTGATCGGCCGGATGGCCTCCGAGTTCTTCTACTACGTTCCTCGGATGTTTCAGAAACCTTGAAGCGCTCCACCGGTCTCGGCGGTCCACCGGTCTCCCCACAGTGGTGAAGGCCCATGAATCCGCTGCAAGTATTTGGGGTGTTCGACCTGGTGTGAGGTAGCGGTAGCAGTACTACTGCTGCTTCTGCTACTGCTGTTATAATACCTACCTACTTACCTACTTACCTACTT